TGATTACTCTGAGCTGTTTACAAAGCTCCGCTGCTTTTTTAATAGCTTTTCTATGCAAATATAGATTACGCTAGATAGAAATCTTTGATAATTGTGCCTCGCAGCTTTTTCAATGTGTCGCGCTCGTGACCCAGGCTTCTTTTCCATTCATCAGCTGCGACTCTGCAATTGGATACTATTATGCGTGTCTCGTGTTTATAAGAGCAAAAACTTCTGATTGGCTAGTAATGTTAGTTTCATACACTTGGAAAATTATGAGCTTTATCACGCTCATAGACACTAGGGGTGTGACAATACACTTAGCTCACAAGGTGAGACAAAATGCAGATACTTGGTTCACTAGAACGTGACAATGTTTTAATACTTTAAGAAATTTTCAAATGACAAAATATTTGTCTTTTAATCACAAAAAGTAAACCAATGCAGTTGTATTTTGAAATGTTTTAACTAATCTAATGCTTAACTAATTATTTTGCTAATCAAGTAATCTACTGATTATTTTGACAAGTGAGTAATCTGATATTTTTTAGTAATACAAATAGAACTAAGTGGAAAAACAGGCTTTAATATAACTATATTTATATATAAAGTAGCGATGATGCAATAATAATTGGCCTCAAATAAAGTATCAAAACCAAGTACATGGTTTTACTGAACAACACTGTTAAATACATAATGTAATATGCCTATATTTATAACAAGTACCTGCAGAGGGCGCCAACGGCCTGGTAATGTTTCATGTGATTCAACGTTTAAATCCATGTAATTTTAATATTTGGCCACATGCAAAGTCAGAAACTTTTATTTTGAAATCGCAATGTACAATAAATCGCATATTTAGAAATGTTCATGGATTCTCCTGTGTTGGCATTGGTTTAAATGATTTACGTTAAAAATCAAGTGAGTTTTCCCAGCGCACGCTGGAGATCCGGCACGGTGCCGGAGAACTTTAAGCCCTGTCAAAATTATAAAAATGTTTAAATACCTATGTAAACAAATTGCTGTATATTTTGATAGCTAAATACTACAAACAGTACTAAAGACAAAGAAAGTGTACTTACAGCTGAGGTCCTTTCTCATCAACACCTCCGAAAAGCAGAGCGACACCAAAAGGACGGCTCTAAAGATGGAAAAGGTGGATATTTGTAATCAAACTACAACCAGAGACAACTGTCCTGGAGAGAACTGAAAAATGCAATAAAATGTTAGCAAGACGGTCATACCATAGCGCCAGGGTCAGCGTCCTCCTCTCCAAACTGCAGAGCGAGGTTAGACACAGCCTGTGTTACGCTCTCCACCGTCATCGTCTCATTGTAGGTAAACCAATGGTTCTGCAGAAACACAAGAATGCTTAAAATATATGGCATTTGGTGTAAGAACACTGTATTTATGAATGAGACCCATTGACTAATCATAGCAGTGACAATACAGATTTTGAAGAAACTGTTCACTGACCTGTGTTTCCACTCTTGCTTTGTCAATAAGTGTCTTTGCATCAGCTATTAAGCCACTCATGGCACAGCCTGTATTGACAAATGAACATGATCATTCACAACTAGTTTTATTATACTTATCCACATGGAAAATATGTTATTTTAAGCATTTTTCTTACCAATATGAGTGTCAATTTCTACAATCTTTTCAATGCTGCTGGGCTCCATCAGAGGAGAGGTTATTCGCTTCTCCACAGCGAGACACACTCCCTCCAATGTCTGAATGCCAATGGCTGTGGATCCCAACTGGAAAGACGCACAAAACCAAAAAAATTAGCCCTAGAATTAATTTCTTACAAACCGAGAAAATTCAGACATATTATTCTGCTAATAAGAAGTGTACCTTGATGGCTTCAATGGCATATTCTACTTGAAAAAGCCTTCCCTCTGGTGAGAAAGTGTTCACTCCTCTGAGGATGGAAAAATATGTTAATATATGATATAGTAAGTGTATTCAAATCTGTATCATAATATACTTTACTACATTGTAGAGTTAATGCAGTTATTATATCAGCAAAACAAAACTGAAAGTGTGACAAGAGTGTGACATTACTTTAATTATTCTTTTACAAAGAGATATGTAAATATCCTAAAAATATATAGATATATGAGCAGCCACTGACAACACAAGCATGAAACACAATTGACTGAACATTCAAAGCAGTGAAAGAGTAAAGCATAGATAAAGGTAATTCTTCATCTTACCTGTCATACTCTGATCTTGTCAGGAACATTTTGAAATGCAAATCTATCAAAATCAACAAGAACAGACTTAGATTATCCAACTTTAAATGTAGTGAGTTAGCACAAAAAAACAACAGCTTGCTATGTAAGCGGCGCGATCTTAGCACTGGAGTTCACAACCAATCAAACACCGGCATCCCTTAGACTGATTGGACGATTTTGAGATAAAAGGCGGGGTTAAGACTAAACCGTCTATTTGATTGGTCGAACCACCCTTTAATCAATGACAACGCATGTTTTACTTCAACTCGAGTCATTCTTAGATGAGCTGTATAATAATACTCCCGTCGTATTTACTTCCATAGATGCACTTTTCTAAACTCTCAATGGCCACAATAAGCAGTTTTCCCATAAAGTTTTTATTCACATTGTTCTTTATTTTGGCAAAAACCATGTGAGAACACAAACACATGGGCATCTAACGTTAGCTAACCGGTTTACTACTAAATAACCAACACACGGGCCGTTAAAATAACTTTACACGATATACTCTGTTGTCTCAGATGCTTTTGTCCGCTGATCTGCGGTTTACTGCAGTAAGGCACTACATCATAAAGTGTTTGTTATAAATGTCTTACCTTCTGCAGTGGAGGGTGAGTTTGCTAGTTTCAACAGTACAGGAAGTGTTTACACATAATCGCCCGACAAAAGCATTTCGGTTCAACTTAGGTTCCTACCCCATTGAATCCATCATAGAAGTCTTTAAACACACTGGCCATATGACGACCAAATCTAGTAGCTGTTATCTGTAGGAGCTACATTCTAAATAACTTCATTATTAATCGCCACAGTTTCCCTTTATTCACATATTTCTGCCTTTCTATTCCCTGCTTTCTTCAGTGCATTCATGTATGCATGCATGTCTTTTAATTTTTATTAAACACCTTCAAATAACAAACAGGCATTATCATTGTTAAACATAAACTCAGAATTTGTATTTAAAAAATCTGACAAAAAATACTCAAATACAAGTCAGCAAATTATAACAGAAATTAAATGAACTTAAATTAACAGCTGATCTAAAAATTGTTATACATTTTTCAAATCATTTTGCCACAAAATTTAGATCTGGATGTTATTACAATAATTAAACCTTTTGTATGCATGTAGCACAACAGAGATATTTCTTTTCTTTCTTTCTTTCTTTCTTTCTTTCTTTCTTTCTCTCTTTCTTTCTTTCTTTCTTTCTTTCATTTTCAAACAGGCATTATCATTGTTAAACATAAACTCAGAATTTGTATTTAAAAAATCTGACAAAAAATACTCAAATACAAGTCAGCAAATTATAACAGAAATTAAATGAACTTAAATTAACAGCTGATCTAAAAATTGTTATACATTTTTCAAATCATTTTGCCACAAAATTTAGATCTGGATGTTATTACAATAATTAAACCTTTTGTATGCATGTAGCACAACAGAGATATTTCTTTTCTTTCTTTCTTTCTTTCTTTCTTTCTTTCTTTCTTTCTTTCTTTCTTTCTTTCTTTCTTTCTTTCTTTCTTTCTTTCTTTCTTTCTTTCTTTCTCTCTTTCTTTCTTTCTTTCTTTCTTTCATTTTTGCATTTTATACGGCCAGGTCAAGTGTATAAAACACAGTATAATTATTTTGGTAAAATTATATTATAATTGAAAATACATTTTTGTTTCCAGTAAAATGCAATTTAACTTTCGAAAACATTAGGATTTTTTTTTTTTTTTAGGATAAATCGGTAATTATAGCCCATAATTATAATATATTTCTGTTATTGATTAATAATAATTAGGAAACATGAGCAATTTTATGTTTATTATAAATACACTTTAGGTGAACTTATAACACTTACTTAATAAAATATTGTTTCATAAATTTGTGTCCTTAATATTTTTTTAAATATGTATTAAACATTTTACAAAAGTCACATCAATGAAGCAAAGCAAACTATCAACTAGAAGCAAAAAACTTCAGCTTATTTGTGCGTTTTTTGTGCACGTTTTTGGGAGATCTGGCAACACTGCAGTGAATTTACCCGTGTATGTCACTTTAAGAGAAAGTTGAAATCACGTGTCTCACTGTAGAAACTTTGACAAGTTGGTCGACATAAGTCTTGTTTTCCCGCTATCGAAAACCTTGAATGTCATTCTCTTGTGTCTTCTTCTTCTGTTAATAACGAACTCAGAAACTATCCATTAATCGAAGTCTTTTCTATCAGCGTCAATATAAAAACACTCCCAAAACATGGAAATCGTGCAGGTAACGTAATAAACTAGCAACAGTTTGGTGATCTTCGTCTTTTCCGCTCAGCAAAATCACGTTGAGGATTTCATCTTTAATTTCTCCATTTACAGAAAATCATGTCGGGGTTTAGTCTGGATTTGGGACCAGTGAAAGAGCCACTGGGATTTATCCGAATCCTGGAATGGGTGAGTTTCTGCGATCATTAAACAGATCCAAATGTCACGTTGTGTCTTTTTGATAGCACATTCATTATGAAAGTTGATCGATAAATATAAATGTCTTTAAACACTTTATTATGCGATCATATAAATGTACCTTGCACGCTACGTTGCAGTCGCACATGGTGCTGTTTTGTCAATATAAGGGGCAACACCCTTATCAAAATAATGGACAAAAATTGCTATATTATCCACTGTTTAGGTCATCTAACATATAGACATCTTTAGGTGTGTCATGTGATAGGATATGTGCTGTAGAAATCATCTCAAACATACAAATGCATGCAAATTTATACAAGTCCTGCCTTGCACAGTCCCTTGAGAATTAAATGATGTTTACATTGCCAACGGTAGGAGCAACCAAGATAGTCCTGTTTGCCACATGCGCGTTTAGAGCCTTCTGTGCTGGACTTTAGTCTAATACTAAATATACCACTGCAAACAATGGAAAATCTAGGCTATAAAAGCTATAAAATGCACCTATCTGCAGGGTTCTCCGACTGATGTGGGTAACTAGGCCTGGAGCTCATTAACCTACTAAGAAATCAGGCTGGATATGAAATTAACTTCACTTTAATTTACTTTACTTTACTTTTTAATGTCAGTCTGATCTGAGTTTTGCTGAATCAAGAATAGATTTATAGTAGAATAATATAGCTTTCTTCGTAAGGGAACCTCAACTACTTCGGCTTGTGAGCTAAATATATTTTTGTTTGTCCTCTATTTAGTCTTAGACTAGCCTGAAATTCGATCCAGTTAGTATGATATGGTTTAGAAGGCCGGAAGTAGAAACTAACTGCCACAAATTTCAGTGTTGATATGTGAAACTCTACCTGCATACTCGCTGGCGTAAATATCCGACAGCACTGAAAACCAGCCAAGATCATTTTTAGAAGTGATGTTGTATCTTCAGAAAAGAATCCTAGCTGCTGTTGCTCAAATAGCAGGCAGTTTATTAGATGTTCACTAACTGAATTGATATCCGTATGTGTGTGTGTGTGTGTGTGTATGTATATCTATGTATGTATGTATGTATGTGTGTGTGTATGTATATGTATATATGTATGTGTGTGTGTGTGTGTGTAGATCTAGAGGTGTGTATATATGTGTATCTCACCTGGAATGTCTACATCTCTTACTTTTGCCTGAGCCTTTGTAAACGTTTGCACTTTGCACACAATTTTGCTTTGTCTTTGCAAGGTGAACATGCAAGGCGTTAGACAAAAGACAAGGTGTAATTTAACACAGTAGTGTGTTGTTTTGGATCCTTCGTATGGAAGTAATGTAATTTCTGCAACTTAATCCAGACTGCAAAGCTGCTGCTTTGGGGACACATTACATCACAAGCTCATCGGAAATAATTCCAGACAATGCAAACCCAGAGTGCAAGATAATACAAGTTCATAAGGTGTAAATGAAGCTGTTATCTCTCTGTAGGTTATACCAGCTAAACCCTTGTTCCTCTTTCACCCAGTAGGAAGTACGCCACCAATATGCTGATTTGGTTCTTATTAATATCAATATTGAAAGTTTTTGCTGCATAATTTGCTGCATTTTTTTTGTGGAAAATATGATACATTTTGTAGGATTCTTTATTTGAAACCGAAATCTTTTGTAACTTTATAAATGTCTTACCTCAAAATAAATCTTACCCCAACATTTTGGATGGTAGTGTATCACAGTTTCCACAAAAATGTGAAGCAGCACAGCTGGTTTCAACATTGGTAATAATAAGACATTTTCTTGAGCACCAAATTACCATATTAGAATGATTTCCGAAGGATCATGTGACAATGAAGACTGGAGTAATGATGCTGAAAATTCAGCTTGGCCACCACAGGAATAAATTACACTTTTAAAAATAGAAAGCAGTTTTTGGAATTGTAATAATATTTTACAATATTACAGTTTTTACTTTATTTATAAAAATAAATGTGTCCTTGTTGAGCTTGTTGATAATTATTTCAAACTTTTAACTGGCCATGTACATTTGTGCTTCTTTAAGGTGTAACACGTCTGCCGTTAGTTGCATAAAAGGGCTTTAATGTGGAGGAGGATATGGCTTATATGCCTTCATAAGCACTTTTCCTGAATGAGAATGTCCTGAATTGAATAAAATCTGAGGAAATGGGCAGTTTGACACATTTTTTACTTGTGAAGCAAGGATGTCAGCCACTCCCTTCAAAATCAGCATGTGTCTGCAGTGATGTTTTTGCTTTTAACCACCACAACCCAGATCTCCCAGCAGTAATGCAACAATGGAGAGGATGCTAACAGCTAAACCGACCTCTGATCATGTTGACGGTGGTGGCATGGACGGTTCATTCAGACAAAGGCGCTCTTTAATAGTCAATTGCTGCGTGTAGGTGTGCATTCCAGCGTGAACGTGGCATCCGCACACCATGTGGTTCTGTTTGGTGCCAGGCACCCTTAGCTGGCCCACTGTGCTTATCTGTGCCAAGCACCTGCACCGCACGCTCAACAGGAATGAAGCCAAAGTCTTGCCGGGGTGAGGATCGCACACCCACTCTTGGATTTTCTTGGCAGCAAAAATGTAGGGCTATTTTTACAATCATTTTGGGGTGCAATACAGACCAATGTGTCTCAGAATCAGATATCTGGTTTAAAGAAAGGAGAAAACTATTTATATTGGATAGTGTGAGGGTTCCGTTTTTTGAAATACATTCATAATTTTATGTTTATAATAATAATAATATAAGATATATTTATTTGAAGGAAAATATAAATGACCAAAAAATGTTAAAGGGGTCATGACATAGATTTTTTTAAAAGTATTTTAATATGTTCCCTGAGGTTTACCTATAATGTTAATAAAGTTTTTTTTGCACAAAAAAAAACTAATATGTGGAAAAACTATTATTTTCAGCCCTCATTCTGACCCTCTGTGTAAAACGACCTGTTTTTAAGGGGCGTGTCCGTTAAGGCTTCTCAGTAATCGGCCACTGTTATGATTGGCTAACGTGATTGCATAGGAAACTGTATCAATGCCCCCTCCTATTGCATGTGAGTGTTTTGACAACATAATCAAATTAAATGGTCATTTTCAGACAAACATTATGAAATCATTTACTTATGGTTTGTGATGCAGCTGCAGTCAGATCTAGTTCAGCTTCATCTTTCAACAAATGTTTCTTTGTGAACTCTCCATGACACTGTGCCTCGTTTACAAAACAAAATGCTCCGACCAATCCTCTGACACTATCCCGGGGTGCCATTAAAAATAAATTATCCACTTGTTACTTACGCTGGGATCCTTCATCTGTACAAAGACACTAACGAGCTTTTTAAACCAAATGCGTCAAAGCAAACGTTCTTTCACTCTATTTGTCCTGACGACAGACTCAAGCACGTGGACTGTGTCAGAAAGCAAACGCGCATCTGTATACTGTATCCAGTGTAGACAAGATAGCGAACATTTTGATTGGGCGATGCGCCCTCCACAGATGATATAAATACATATAAATAAATTTAGACCACTTAACTTAGTGATTGCTATCGGGATGTGAAGAGATTTTCAACCAGCATAACAAAAAAAATTTTTTTGAACCAAATCACCTACCCTGCCTTTAACAATTCACAAACCACATTCATTTTTTTTCTTCTTTTTTTTTTCCAAGACATTTTTTTCATTGGATTCACCAATTTTAAACAGCAGCATATTGAAAATAGAATTCTCACAAAGGACTCTGTTCTGGAGGGAAGTTCTGCATCCCACTATTGTTTCTCCTGTATAACAGCAACTGCTTCTCAGAAGATCCTTCATTGTTTCTTAAACAGGGGTTCCACAGAGACACTTCAGTGATCAAACAGTCCTTGGAATTCTTTAATATGTAGCTGAAATGTAAAAGAAAGGTTGAACTTTAACTTGGTTTGAATATGTGTGCTTCATTTCCACTGACTCAGGCTGCGAGCAGAGCTCTCTTTAAAGGTATAGTTCACCCAAAAATAGGGCTGCACGATAAATCGCATGCGATATTTAAAGCGCATCTTGTCAGAAATCCGGTTCTGTAATCAGCGGTAAATCTCCATCACCTGCGTGCTTTCACATTGAGCAGCATTAACTACACAGAGCCGTTGTT